GCTTTCTAGCAGTCCCCTCTACATCACCATTGCTTTTCCTCTTGCTTCCAGACATCCTGGGCTCTGAGCACTGTACTACTGTACACTATCGCACTGTACAGTAAGCACACAGCACAACTGACAATGTCCAGCAGACACGTGAGCTACTTCCTAGATTTGTTCGCATCTACGAATGTTCGTAATGCGAGGTCCATTCATATCTGTGAAAGTTTGCAACTCGAGTGTTCGTAAGTTGGGGACTTACTGTACTAAGAATCATGATTACTAGATCATATGATTAAGAGGATGTTTAGTTTGCTAAGAAACTAAAGATAGCCAAACTATCTTCCAAAGTGCCTGTACCATTCTTCCATTCCCATCAACAATGAGAGTTCCTGTTGTCCCACATTCTCACCAGCATTTGGTGTTGTATTTTGAATTTTTGTATTCCAATAGGTATGTAGTGGTGTCTCGTTTTAATTTGCATTTCCCTGATGATATACAATGTGGAGCATCTTTTCATATGCTCACTTGACATCTGTAGGTCTCCTTGGTGAAGTATCTGTTAAGGTCTTTGGCCCACTTTTAAATAAGGTTGTTTCCTTATCATTGAATTTTAAGGGTTTTTTTGTATATATTCAATTATGACATGTCAAACATAGTAAAGTATTGAGAATAATATGATTAACACTCAGTTTATCAAATCCTAGCATTTTGTCATATTTGCTTTACATTCTTAGAGGCGGGAACAAATACCCCTGTATACCCTCTCCAGCCCCGTTCCTTTCCTTTAGAGAAAACCAGTCCTGAATTTGGTGGTCATCATCCATACTCATGTTTTTTATACTCATGGCTGCATAAACAAAACCAATGAATTATATTGTTTTGCAATTTCAACTTTTATAAAATGCACGTATCATTTGGCAACTGGCTTTTTTTTCCACTTGCTTGTTTATCCATGTTGATATATTTATATTTAGCTGTAGTCCATTCATTTTAACTGCTCTATAGTGTTGTAATTAGTAAGCCACATTTATCCATTCTTCTGTTGATGGACATTTAGATTGCTTCCAGTTTGGGGCTATTACAAATCAGGCTATTATAAACATTTGTATGTAAGTCTTTATATGGACACACCTTTCCTGTTCTGTTGAGTAAAACCTAAAGGTGAAACGGCTGGATCATATGGTAGGAGTATATTTAATTAAGAAACTGTCCAGCATTTTTCCAACATGGTTATACCATTTTGTATTCCTATCAACAGTATATGAGAGTTCCAATTCCTCCAAATCATTGCCAACATTTGGTATGGTCAATCTTTTTAATTTTAGCATTTTAGTAGGCATGTAGTGGATTCTCACTGTTTTTTTATCTTGCATTTCCCTAATGCCTAATGATATTGAACACTTAAAAAAATAGCCTTTTTTAAAGAGAAGTTTTAGATGCACAACAAAATTGAGTGGAAAATACAGAGGGTTCCCGTATAGCCCCTGATCCCACACACACACAACCTCCCCTACTACCAACATTTTTTACAATTAATGAGCCTACATTAATACATCATTATCACCAAAAGTCTATAGTTTACATTACGGTTCACTCTTGATGTTGAACAAATATATAATGGTTTTGACAAATGTATAACAACATGTATCCCTAATTATATTATGCAGAATAGTTTTACTGTCCTAAAAAATCCTGTACTACATATATCCTCCCTCTCCCAACCCCTGATCTTTTTACTATCTCCATAGTTTTCCCTTTTCCAGAAAGTCATATACTTGGAATCATACAGTATGTAGTCTTTTCAGACTGGCTTCTGTCACTTAGAAATATGCATTTAAAGTTCCTTCATGTGTTTTCATGGCTTGATAAGCTTATTTTTCCTAGTGCTAAATAACATTCCATTGTATGGATGTATCAGTTTATTCATTCACCTATTGAAGGGACATTTTGGTTGCTTCCAAGTTTTGGCAATTATGAATAAAGCTGCTGTAAACATGTGTGTGCAGGTTTTTGTGTGGGCATGAGTTTTGTTTGTTTTTTTAAAGATTTTTATTGGGGAATTNCCAATAAAATCTTTGGAAAAAAATAAAATAAAATAAAATTAGAAGAATAGAGTTGTTAGGATTACATAAAAGAACATTTGAAAACTCCTGCTTCTGCCTTTTCCTCATTTGAAATAATTCATATCTTCATTATTTCCCATCTGGATTGCCACCAAGTGATTTTCCTGTCTTCCTACTCCACTCCATCCTCAAAACAAAAAAAAAGCATCCATTCTCTGACATAAAGTCACCATCACTAGTTGTCCACCACAACAGAAAAATATCAAACTTTCCAATTTAGAATTCAAAGCCCTCCACAATAAGACACCAAATTACCACTCAGCTATCTCTCTGGACACAATCAATACTCCCTAAATATTGGAATTTCGTGGTCTGTGCCTCTGCACAAGCTGTTTTCCTTTGCCTACAATAAGCAACAATAATCGACAAATGTTTACTGGGTACTTAGAATGTATCAGACACAGTTCTAGGCACTGGAGAGGCAATGGAGAGGAAAAAACAAACAAAAAACAGACATGGCCTGCCCTCACAGTGCTTAGTCTAAAAACTAGAAGCATTAATCAAATGATCACACAAACCATGTAACTGCAAGCATGGCTAAGAGTAATGAAGGAGATGAACCAGGCTCTGCCCCAGTCAGGGAGGTCAGGGAAAGCATCTCCACTCTCATGTCCCCTCTATGGACACCCTATCCTTAGCTGTGTCAATTACACCTTTATTCTCTGACTCCATCTTGAAACCGCAGAAATCTCTTTGACTCCTGCCTCTCCACAGCCCTTAATCCAACAGCATGAACTATCTGCTCTTCCTGGACAATTTATCTTACATCTCATCACCAGTTACCACTGACACCACTGCAGTTCAGGGCTTTTATTATCTCTCACCTGTACTGCTACGCTAGCTTGTCCTTTCCTCCAATCATACCCAGCACACAGCTGCCTAATCAATCTAACCTAAATCGTTTTTATTTTCCTTCTGTTTTTAAAAAAAAATGCCTGCTCAGAAACGTTCAGTAATTCCCCCATTGATTCTTAATTCCTTAACCTGGACTCAAAGGCTTCCCTAATGCAACCCCAACTTAGTTCTCCAACCTTACCTCCCACTAGTCCCCACTGTGACTCCTCTGTCAAGGTGATTTATGAACAGGCCTGGCAGATCCTTCACCTTTCTGTGCAGAGCAGTTCCCTCAGTCCTGAATGTTGTCTCCCCTGACAGCAGGGCCCACATTTAACACATCCTTCCAGGCTCAGTTCAGTGCCACCTCTCCTCCAAAGTCCTCTGTGAAGGACTGCATGTTCCAAAAGCAGCCACAGCAATAGTTCCAGTATCACATGTACTTCCAGAACCTTGCCTCCCCTATCAAGAAGTGGAGTCTATTTCCTCTCCCCTTGAAATTAAGCAGGCCTCAACACTGCAAAAGTGGTGCACTAGCGCACCCCCCCACACACACACACACACACGCACACACGTGCGCCTTGGGACCCAGCCACCACACGTTGAGGAAGACCATGCCAGGAAAGCACATATGTAGTAGTTCTGGCCAACAGTCGCAGCTAAGTGGACAGCCAGCATCAACTGCCCAACATGTAAGGGCCTTCCGATGGCCCAGCGCCTAGCCCTGGAGTCAAGCTGAGTGGAGCAGAAAGGTGCTATCCCCACCCAGCCCTGCTCAAAATGCAAATTCAGAAGCAAAAAAACCAGCAATAGGTTAGCAGAACACCCTCCATGATAACCCTGCCCTGAATATCACCCTCTGACTCCTCGAAATTTTGTTACATGGGGGTTATTCTCCCCCTATTGCTAACTTCCGCCACAGCTAGCTAGGTGGATCCTCACACACAGGAGGCTCTCGAGTAGGCGTTGACTGACCAACTGAATAAATGAAAGTTAAGACTTAATTCCTCCTGAAAATCCATAGAAGAGCCTAAGAACTCTCTGTAGCACTTGTAGAGCTGATGTGATTAGTTAAGTTGGGCCAATGACCAAGATGACTGTGATTGGTATCTTTAAAAATGACTAATCAAAATCTGTTTTGGAGAAAAAGAGGATACGTTCTGCCTCTGAGCTGGAGGAAAGTCTGGAAAGGACAGAAGTGGGCGGCGTAGCAGTACGGCCATGGGTCATGGTGTCTCGGCCCGGGTTTCTAAGTGTTGGGTGCAGCTCCAATAGGGCGAAGCCTCCTTTCCCTCTTACAATTAAAAGGAGCGCCTGTTTCTACAACGGTTATTGTATACTTGCGTTTTCATAACCCCAAATGCTTCTTCCTTCCCTCCCTTTCGTAAGCGACAATAAAAACTTAAACCTGGGAGGAATGTAAGCGGGGCGAGGGCAGGTGCTCCGACGCGCATGCTCAGGAACCGGCCAGGGACCCCCGAGCCCCGGGCAGGCTCAGCACCTGCGGGGAGGCTACTCACTATCACACCACCTCGGCGTCGCTAAGCACTTCACCTGAGCGCCCTGTCCCTCAGCCTTTTTCTCCTGGGCTCTTCTTTCTGCAAACGCAACGTGGCACGTGCTGGTTGGGGGCCATCCCGACGCCGGCGTGCGTCCCGTGGGCCCAACCCGCCCACCCGGCCCAGCCCGGCCGCGCCCCCGCCGCCATCTACTCACTGTCCCGCAGACGACGCTTGAACGCGGGGTCGCCACGCCGCTTCCGGTCGAAGTAGACACAGTAGCCCAGGAAGGCGACAGCGCCACAGGCCGCCAGGGCCGCCAGGAGGCCGAGGAGGGTGCGGACGCAGGGCATCCGGCCGCGGGCATCCCACGTGCGGAGCGTTGGGCGCGGGCCCCGAGCGCGGGGAGCCCGGCCGGCCGGCAGGGGGCGTCGGCGCGGTGCCCATCCCGGCCTCGGGGCTTCCCGTGCCTCGCACCAATGCCAGCGGACAGAAAAGGAAACCGAGGGTCCCAGAGGATGCGTGTGGGAAGCCTCGCCTCCACTGAGTGGCAGAGCTCTGTTCCAACCCAGGTCTGTCGCACTCCAAATTCTGAACCGCACTTACCCAAACGTACCCGTCCCTGTGCCTACGACGCCTATTCAGGCGAATCGCAGTCGGTCTGGAATCTGGTTAGCTGGGGAACTGGACGCTCTTTAGGCCTCTGTTCCCTCACCTGCAAGTTTAGGTGGACTTTGGTCATCTAGTTCACAGCACTGCCCACTGAGCCCCTGAACACTAGCCCATACTCCCCCACCTGGTCTGCGTTGTCACCTGAAAGGACTCAGCAGTCCCAAGTCCCCGGCCACTTAACTCTATGGCAGGAGGAAGGAGGAATTTTGAAATAAGAATGTTTAGCCTAAAAACAACAACAACAAATGTTAATTTGGCTGGGCTGGGCGGGACAGCCAGAAGTCCCAGAACAGAACCAACTCTGAGAGACCCATGACACTAGCCTAGATGCTTTTCTTCCCAATATTTGCTTTATTCAGCAGACGCAGCAGAAAGAATAGAGAGGTAAGACTTGACCCCAAATACCAGAGTTTTGATTTTTATACTAAGTCAAAGAGAAGGCATACGCTAGGTGCGGACTTAACTAAATAATTTATCTTTTGTTAGGTTATTCAGCTGCTGCTTACAATTTATTGATATTACTAGTGTGCGCATAGCAAGGTACTCATCACTGCTGTGACTACCACCGGGGCTGAGAAGAAGCCCATGCCCTCACAATTGAAGAGTTAGCAGGTGTAAGTTATGTGTGATTGTTTTCTTTTTTCTTTCTTTTTTTTTTTTTTTTTTTTTTTT